ACGGGGCCCGTAAGGAGGTGCGAGGGGGAGGTCGTGGGGCTCGAGCCGAGGCGGGGGCGAGGGGGCATGGAGGCAGGACTGTGGGGCCCTGCGCGGCCCCTGAGGTCAGGACGGAGTTGGGGACGGGCGGGGTCGGGCAATAGGCGGACTGGATGCTGGGGTTAGGCTGGTGTCTCTGCGTCAGGTGTCACTTTGCTCTGCCCTTTGCCCCGATGTCCGTTTCTCTCTTGCAGAGTTAAAACGAGGAATTCCCCAAGACTTGCTTTCTTCCCCCAAGTTAGACAAATACAAAATAGCAAGACAATTGACGGACAAGGCGGTCAAGGTAAGTGCTGTTTGGGGCTGGGGTGTGCGGGGCGCTTTGTATGTTTATTTTGGATTTGGAGCATGAGTCCCTTGCCTTTGACACGCTCAAGCCAGCCTTGTTTCCTGCCCCAGTCCTGGCCCCACGTGGAGACTCACAGCTGAGGCACTACATTTCGGCTGCACTTCTGAAATAGTAATACTTCCAAAACTCAAGAAATGCAGACACGCACGGTGAAAATCTCTCCTGCAGCCACACGGTCAGTGTGCCCCCATCATGTGACTGCAGCTGTGGGCTCCTCCCAGACAAGGTTTCTGGGTCAGGGACAGACTCCTGGTGATCCACAGAAGCCACGCCCCCTGCCCCCAGGCCCCCCCGGGGGGACAGGGCCGGCAGCTCCCGTGTGTGAGAGGGTTTAGTGCCGGGACAGGACCCTTGTAGGGCTCGAAGCTCGTGGGGACAGCTGGCACGCCCACCCACCGCCCCGTCCTCCCCAGGGGGACGCCTTAACTTTCACCAGAATGGAGGCGTCTTGGGGAGATGAGGGCAGCACAGACATTCTTCAGGTGGGGCAGGTGCTCCAAGGCAACTGCTCTGAGGACGTGCTTCTCTGTCCTTATCACGAGTTCGCGTCGGGGAGCCCCGAGTCCCACACTCAGCCTCACGCGGGCGCGCGCTCATCCCTCAGCTCTCTTTGGAAGCACGGCGCACACACGCAAGTGCACAGGTCGTCAGCGCACAGCCCGGCTGTGATGGGCTGGGTGCCCGGAGAGAGAAGCACCGCACAGGTGGTGCCGGTCAGCCCGCGTCAACCCCCCCCCCCCGCAGCCACGACCGAGCACGTCCACCCGCGGAAGCTGCCTCCTGCCCAGCTTGTTCCGGGATCCTGGCAACCACGGCTGTGCTTTGCGGGCTTCCTCTCACTGTCCTTTCTGCGATTTCACATACACAGAACTCAACTTTCAGGTTTTCTCCGGAGACCTTCAAAAATACAAACATTGTCCAACCTGCAAACATCCCTCTCAGTGCTGCTTTAGCTGCATTTCACAAAATTTCATTTTGCAGTATTTTTGATGAGATTCAGTTCAAAGTACTTTATGATTCATGTTGTCACTTTTTATTGATCGTAGGTTACTTAAAAGAATAGGTCTTAATTTCTATGCTGGTGATTTTTTCTAGTTATTTTGTTATTGGTTTTTAGTGTGATTGCCTTGTGGTTGAGAATCGGTGCAATGTTATTCCATCAACAAGTGGGTTCAGACCCGCCTCGTGCCTGGAATCCTGTTAGTTTCTGTGGAAGTTGGTGTCGAGTGCGGAAGTCACAGCCATCAGGGTGGACTTTGTTATTTGAGTTGTTCAAGTTTTCTAGCCTTATTGAATTTCTTGTCTCTGTGTTCTAGAACTTCCTGAGAGAAGCATGTTAAATATCCTGTTGTGGTTGTGGATTTGTCTACTTCGTGTTTGTGCCAATTTTTGCTTTATATAATATATCCCTCTTAGTGGGTGCACACAAGTGTATCTTTCTGGCGGGTTGAACGTTTTCTTTAAATTTCGGGGTGACTTTCTTTACTTCAGTGATGCTTATTTGTCCCAAGTCTATTCTGCCTCATACTTAGAACCTTTCGTTTTCTGCCTGTCTGTAGGCTTGTGCTTTTGAGTTTCTCCTGTAAGCAACACAGATTCAGATAAGAAAAGATGTGTTCTGGTGCTTTGTGCCTTGTCCCTGGAGCACTTTGGCTGTTTATCTATAATTAGACTGTGGAATAGCCCCATCCCATTTCGTTCGTCCAGTTTGTCCTGTCTGCCCAGTTTCCTCTCCTTTCACGCCTGCCGGTGGGCCGGTTCCTTTTCTAAGCCCTCTTTCCCTCTCTGTCAGAGGTCTTGTGCCCTTCCCTGTCCCTTTTTAGGTAGCTCCTTAGGTGTTGCGCTCTGCTGGCTCATTACTCAAGTTTTCTAAAGCTGCTCAGTTTGACTCCAGTCAAAGGGGCAGAGGGCTGAGAGTGGCTTGGGGTCTTGCTGGAGCTGCAGACGGCTGACATCCTTCCAGCCGTCACGGTCCCCCGCCCCACCTCTCCTCACAGCGGCCCCTCTCAGGGTGCATGGCCCCGTGGGGGAACGACGGGCTTTGGACTGATGTTCTGGGTAGAAGGAGGCTCACAGGTCTTTCACTAGAACCTGAACCCACCACTTCAAGCCACAAGCCCATCTTGGTGTGTGCTCCTGGTCCTCCACTGGGACCTGTGTTAGCTACTGATGCTGCATAACAAGTCGTTACGAGCTGAGCTGTCCAAACACACCCAAGTGTTATCTCACAGCTGCTGTGGGTCAGGACTCAGGCTGGGCCCTCTGCGCAGCATCTCTCAAGGCTGAAATGAAGCGTCAGGTGGGTGGGGTCTCATCTGGAGGCTCAGCAGGGTCGGATCTGCTTCCAAGCTCCCTCCGCCTGTTGGCAGAATTCATTCCCTTGTGGCTGTGAGTTTGTGGCACCAATGGAGAGAGACAGTGTCTGCTCTTGTCAGCCTCTAACTTGAGAGAAGCCTGGGCCCTCTTTTAAGGGGCATACCTGTGTAGGTCAGGCCCACCCAGGATAATTTGTCTTGTTTATTAATTCTGTCTATGTAGGGACCACAGTGAGTTCGAGCCACTCCCTGCTTCTGCCCTGACTGCCTCTCCTGCTCTCACAAACTCATGAGGCCCTCAGCCCACTGCTGACCATGCACCTGTTTCTTGATCCCACCCTGCAGCCACCACCCTCTGTGACCCCAGTGAACTTGTCCTGGCTATGTCCCCAGCATGACCATTACTCTCCTGCCCCTTCAGCCAGGAAGGGAGGGGGCTGCCGGCTGCCGTCTTCCTGCCTGGTCCCCATGCAGCTGAGCTCATCCCCGTGGGGATGGACAGCGTCTGCAGTGTCCCCTGGCTCGGGCCCTGGGCCCTGGGCACTGCCCTTCCAGCCTTCCTGGGCATTTGAGTGGCTCCCCCTCCTCAAACCTTGGACACCTCCTCCCCAAGCATGAGGGACAGTCACTTCTGTAGAGAAAAGAAAGCCTGGCTGTGTTGTGCCTCCTGGGCTCTGTGTGAGTGTGGGTGTGAGGCCGCCTGGGGCAGCAGACAACCGCGAGGGAGGCGGCCTGCCGGGGGCTGCCGGCCCCGTGTCTCCACCCTGGGCAGGACGCGGTGTCTTCCGCTGGTGTGACCTGTCGCATCCTGGCTGGGGGCTCCTCCTACAGAGAAGGGATGAACTTGTTTTCAGCTCTTTAATTTAAAATATACTCTTGCAATTTGAGGAGAAGAAGATTTTCTCCATCTACGGACACTACCCGGTGATCCGGGCCACCCTGCGGAGGAAGGGCTGGGTGGAGAAGAAGTTCCACTTTCTGCCCAAGCCCGTGGCGAAGGTCGAAGGCGACGGGGAAGGGGTGGCAGGTAGCGCCTTGGACATCTGTGTATCTGTCCTCAGACCAGAGTGGGGTGAGACCGAGAAGCCCATGGTTCCCAGACGTGGGCCTCACCCTCGGGCAGAGGTCGCCTCTGGGCCTCCCCTACCCCGGGCGTCCACCCTGGGCAAGCCCCTTAAACCCTGGCACTGGTCACTTCTCTGTGTCCCCGCTGTCCACGCCTGGGCCTCCGCCTGTGTCTGGAAGGCTTCCTTCGTCCTTTAGTCTCTGGCCTTGACTGCCCCCCTCCGGCCCCAGCCCCACCCTGGTCACTGCTTAGCCTCTCACAGTGCCTGGTCACCTGGCCCTCCCTGACCCCCCACCCCTCCTGCTCCGCACAGAGCCTGCACTCTCTTGGCTCCAGGGTGTACACTGGGCCCCCTCCCAAACAACCCAGGCCCAGCTCAGTCCCCTGCTGATGTCTGGGTCCTCGATCCCGGCACGGCTCCTGGTGGGGGTGCCATGCGGTGGACACTTGGATGGTACTATGGCCCGAGCCTGACTCAGCTCTGCTCCCTTCAGGACCCACAGGGGCACCTACTCAGCAGAGGAGTGGCCTCACCTGCGGACAAGGTCGTGGAGAGGTCCACAAGTGCTGCCTGGCTGCAGGGGGCTCTGTAGGGGGCTCGGCTGTGGTCAGACCTTCAGGCCACGACACACTGACATCTCCTGTGTGTTGTATTTGCAGAAAACAGATGTTCTGAAGGCAAAGAAAATCAGGAAGAGGCTTTGGAGAACACAGATGACATCCATGACTTGATGGTAGGTCCTGTGAGCTCCCGAGGGCCTTGCCGCTGCCTGCCGTCTGCCCGCCGTCTGCCCCACTGTGTCCGGGCCGGGGTGCAAAACTACAGTCACACCTCAGTCTCTCGAGCGGCCTCGCAGAGCCAGGGACACCACAGGACGTGTGTGCATGTGCACAAGTGTGTGTCGTGTGTCCCTGTGTGTCCATACGTGTGTGAGTTGACAAGCTGTGTCTGTAAGTCGGCGAAAATCCTGTAGGAAAGGATCAGAATGGCCCCAAGGCTCCTGAGGAGCAGGACTCTGAGATCGTGAGAGGTGATGACTGTGGACACAGGGCCGTGGACATGCGCCTGCGGGGGCGGATGGAGCCTCAGGGCTCAGCCCACATGGCCGTGATGTCGGCCAGGAGGCCGATCAGCCATCAAAGACGGACTTCCCAGGGCCGGTGCTGGACAGGGCGGCGTCCACGGAGGGGACGCTGGAAGGCCAGGGAGGGTCAGTTTGCGGCTCACGGGAGGGAAGGAATTTAGAACAAGACCAGACAGTGCTCACTGTGGGGAGAACGCAGTGCGTGTGACCGCTGAAGCAAGGACACCACAGACAGCAGGGAGGCATCTGCAGCACATGGGATCTGAAAGGTCTGATAGTCACAGTGTGGACCAATGGACAGTGTGGTAACAGAATGACAGTCAGACAGGAAACCGGGAAAGACCAGCCAGGCAACGGGCATGTGATGGCAGGTTCCCACGTGGATGCTCCTGGGGCGCTGGGCAGGCGGCGGGGGAGGGCTGCGGGGAGCCTGGAGCGCAGGTCCTGGCCTGGTCAGGAGCCTCAGCTCCGAACCAGCGGCTGCTGTGTCCCGGGTGTGGGCGGCCCCCCTGCAGCTCTTTCATCTGTGTATCTGAGCCACTTCGCCACACACTTCACCACACACTGTGACAAACAAGGCTCACGTGGGAAAGTGGCCACAAAGGTACAGCCGCCCCCTTAGGGCAGGAGAAAGAGCAAAGGGCTTGAGCCCCACGTTCAGGGAGCCCGTGAAGGTGAGTTTTGGAAGCGACGTTGGCATATCGCCCCCCGGGACAGCAGCCCCCACCCCGGGCCCTCTGGGCAGCAGGACTGGTGTCGGGTGGGAGGAGCCGGTCCTGCTGGAGCACCGGGTGGGGGCTGACATCCATGTCACAGACAGTGAGGTGGTCTTCCCTCTGCTGGTCTGTGGAGAGGGACCCTTAAGGGTCTTCGCCCAGGTATCTGGCTCATCTCTGGGGGCAGGATTTTGGATCTTTTCCTTTTCTAGTATCTCTTTGTATGGTCAGAATTTTTGACCAAACGTGTGAAAACACAAAAGCGCAGACACCAAGGACACCCCAGGCTGGCTTCAGCAGGTGCAGGGGAGGGGAGGAGCCCGTGCCCCAGAGGCCAGAGAGGGGCGTTGTCCCAGGTCACAGAGCGTCACAGCTGCTCCCCGTGCACACATGGGTTGTCCCTGAGCCCGGCACGGGCACCCACGGGGCAAGCAGCCCAGAGCCTGAAGCCCCTCCCTGCTGCACTGGCTTCCCTAGAGGGAAGCCCTGTGCGGTCGCTGCTACTCCCACACGAGCCGCGGGCGCGCCGAGAAGCATGCGGGGAGTGAGTGAGGCTGCGTTCAGGCGGGTGGGGACTCAGGAACCACCTGCTCCTCCCTTAACCCTGGCTTTTCCTCTGGGTGTTTCCCGCCATCAGAGGATGCGAACCTCAGATGCTGGATATTGATGAAGGGTTTTCTTGCCAGTCCAGGTTGGTAAAAAATGAAATGCCATACTTCCTCTGGACACTCAAAAGGGGCATCGTTGACTATCACAGCCTGAGCTGTGACCAGATGCTGAACCACTACGGGAAGACGGCGGCCTTCACCACCAAGGTGAGGGGAGGGCTCGGGCAGGCGTGGGGCCGGCGGCGGGGAGCGCCCTCCCTGCTGAAGCACTAGCACCCCAGAGCTGGGAGAGCCACGCATGGCCTGCTCACCTCCAGGCTCCTCTCCTGGACGCGAGCCTCTGCTGGCCTGGCCAGGGGCTGCCACCTGGCATCAGTGCCCAGAGTCACTCAGCACCTGTTCCCCACAACCTGCCCCCCAAAGCCCTGGTGCCCCTCGCTCTGCGTCTGGGTGGCCCCGTGGCCACAGAAGCCCTCTCTTCTGGGCTCCAGGCCAAGCCTAAGACGGGGCAGGTGAGGGCTGCCACCACAGCCCGGCCTGGGCTCTGGGCCCTGGAGGGCCTCTGGATCTCAGGGGGACGGGGCCACCTGACCTGCACCATGACTTCCAGCCGCCGGGGGGCCTTGGCACAGTCTCTACTACACCAGGCACTTCCCCTTCATCTCCTTTCAGCCCCACAGCCCCTCCTCCAAGCAGCCATCCCTTCTTTACCCTGAAGGCTGAGGTTCAGGGACAGGGCCAGCCCAGGATGGACTGGCCTGCGTGTACCCTCTTGGGAGAGATTGGGTAGAGGGGCTTCCCTGGCAACAAGGGGGCCACCCCCTTAACAGTCAAGGATGACATGGGGGGTCAGGGATGAGGCTCATGGCCGCCCCCAGGGCTCCCGCACATCCTGGCCAGGCCTCAGGCCGCCGGTGTCCTTCCAGGTGTGGGCGATACTGCCGAGACCCCATGCAGGGCACTCGCCCGTGTGCCCAGCAGCCAGCAGGCATTGTGTTTCCCCGGCACGTGGCACTTTTCTCCAAATGGGGCCAGCTGGTCCTGGGCCTCTAACAACCAGGCGTTGTGCCCAGAGGGCAGAGGGGGTGTGCGGCTGCACTGTAGCCCTGCGACCTGGTTCTCCCTCCTCTCCTGGGCCCGAGCCCGGCCATGCAGGACCCTGGGAGGGGAACGCTGCCCTCCATCCCGGGTGCCTTCGGACACCCCTGCCCTCCCTTGGGCCTGTCTCGCCCGCCACTGACCAGAGGATGAACCCAAGGCCCCGGCCTGCACATGGGGTCACTCTGCTGCCCAGACTGACTGGCCAGAGGTCAGGGAGGCTGGGGAGGGTCCCCTCCTGGAGCTGGTGCCACCCAGCCAGGCCCGCGGGCTCTCAGACTAGTCACCATGGCCTGCGGGCCTAACGGGCCGCTGTCTCTGGAGATCGGGCTGTGCGTGAACATGCGGACCCTGCCGTGGTATGTCCAGGCCGACCCCGACTCCTTCTTCCCCCGCTGCTACGGCCTCTGCACCGAGAGCGACAAGCAGGAATTCCTGGGTAAGTGGCTGGAGGATGGACGGAAACCCAGCAGGACCTCTCCCATCCTCCTGCCCAGGAGGCTGCAGGGCTAGGGGCTGGAGGCAGGCTAGGGTGATGGCGGAGGGCCTGGTCCCACGCAGAGACTCAAGGCCTTACCTCTTTTCCGCGTGGTGAGAGCCGGTCTAGAAATGTCCATGAGCAGCGTCTGCAAGGCAGGAGGGGAGGCTGGGAGGCAGATGGAGGCTGGGGAGCCCAATGCCGGGAGCCTGGTTCTGAGGGGACTGTGTGAGAGGTGGGCGTGGGGAGGTGCTGGGACCCGAGTCTGGGCACCTGAGGCGCACTGTGGATGACAGGCTCTGGACTGGGGACAAAGAAGGGTTCCTGGTTCCACCTGCCAGGAAGTCACAGGAGAGAGGAGGGGAGGCCTCGGCAGGAGGGGTGGGGTTGTTCACAGGGGCCCATGTTTCCCGAGTGCCCCATCTAGGGGACCGGGAAAATGCAGCCCAGAACCCCTGCCCTGTGCCCTGAATCCACCTGGGCTCCCAGGAGGCAGGCAGGACAAGGCAGGGTCCTGGGCTGAAGTGAGAGTGCACTGGGGGCCTCAGAGGGGGAGCTTGAGCAGAGACTTGGAGGGAAGGGAGCTCTGGCCGCTGGAGCAGGGGGTGTGCCTGTGCATCCTGGGGCAGAGGTGCTGTTGTCTGGGGAGGGGGCATTCTGATGGAGAGACGAGGCTCCGGTGAAGGCCCTGGGACCGCGGGGGAGGCTGCGAGGGGACTGAGGTTCTGGATGTTTCCAGGGTGGGGGTAACTGCTGGGCCAGTAGATGCCAGGTGGGGTGGCCTTCAGTGAGATGAGGAAGGAGCAGGTTTGAGAGAGAAGGTGCTGGAATATCTCACAGACCTCCCAGATGGCTTGGATTAGGGTCTGGGCTGTGGTCGGGAGCAGCCTTGTGGCCTGGGCCCACTCACGAGGGCAAGGCTCCCTTGCTGTGGCCCTGGTGTGTGCCAGGTGCTCAGAGCCAGCCTGGGCCCCAGGCCCCGGATCTGGGGGACCCCAAGCTGCCTTCTGCACCAGGTGGGTGCCTCAGGATCCCCAGGCATCTACACTTAGAGCTGTGGAAGCCAGCACGTCCAGGGAGGCCCAGGGACGCTCCTGTGATGGGGAGGGTCCTGTGCTGTCAGCAGGCAGGCTCTTAGAAAGATCCTTCTGTGCAGGACTGAGGACACAGGGGCAGGGAGAGGCAGCGAGGCTGCCCACGAACCATGGCCCTGGGGGCACAGGACAGGTCCAGGAAAGGGAGGGCCTAGGTTCTGCCTCTGGGCCTGCAGTCAGGCTGGGTGCATCGCTGGGGTGGAGGTCCCAAGGTGTATGAGACTCCCGTCGCGAGGGGTGGGGACGAGGATGGAGACGGAGACTGTGGGCAGAGTGGGCCAGTCCTCTGAGGGCTGTGATGCAGGAAGTGAGGCCCCGCACGCTGCCCAGCGCCTGGGCTGAGAGTGGCTGGCGCTGGCTGAGGCCGCCATCCCCAGCGCAGGCAGAGGGGGTGAGGCCTCGGTGTCCTTCCAGACGACTTCCGGCGCACAGTGGCCTCCAGCATCCTCAGGTGGGTGGTCAGCCAGCAGAACGGCAACAAGAGCAAGCGCAAGAGCAAGGAAGAGGAGGCCGGCGACAGTGACCCCAGCAGCAAGAAAGGTGTGTGTGGGGCCGAGGCCGGACATGCTGGGAGGACAGTGGGGCGGCGGGGGGCAGGGTGTGCACCCAGGATGGGACTGCAGCTCTGCCCCGACCCCGAGTCTCTTCCAGCAGAATGCCACGGCGGAGGACAGTGGGTGGCACTCTCATGTGGTGTAGGGAGACCTGGGCACAGTGGCTTTAGGCCTATGAAACCCCAATAAGTGTTTTGTTGTAGTTGTTATTTGCTTTTTAGAGCAGTCTTAGGTTCACAGCAAAATGAAGCAGAAGGTACAGGGATTTCCCATGCATGCCCACAGCCCCCTCCAGCCCCCACCGCTATCAACACCCCCCACCAGATGGGACATCTGTTACAGTGGATGAACCTACACTGACATATCGTCTTCACCCGGAGTCCGTGGTTTACATCAGGGTTCAGCCTCGGGTTGGACACACGTGTAACGACGTGTATCCACCGTTACTGTGTCGCACAGAGCAGGTTCACTGCCCCCAAGGCCGCTGTGTGCCCTAACCCCTGATCTTTTTATTGTCTTTTCCGGAATGTCACAGAGTTGGAATCACACGACACATGGGTTTTCCAGACAGGCCTCTTACACTTACACATCTAAGGTTTCCCCATGTCTTTTCATGACTTGATAGCTCATTTCTTTTCAGCTCAGTAGCATTCCATTGTCTAGATGGACCAGTTTCCCTATCCTTTAATCTCCTGGAGGGCTCCTTGGTTGCTTCTAAGTGTTGGCAGCTGTAAATAAAGCTGCTGTGAACATCCGTATATAGGTTTTTGTGTAGTCATAAGTTTTCAACTCATTTGGTAAATGCCAAGGAGCACGACTGGGCAATATGGCAAGAGTATGTTTAGTCTGGTAAGAAACTGTAACTGTCATCCAAAGCGGCTGCACCACTTTGCAGCAGTGGTGAGAGTTCCCGTTGCTCCACGCCCTTGCCAGCATCTGGTGATGTCAGTGTTCTGGGCCTTGGCCCTCTGACAGGCGCGCAGCGGTGTCTCGCGGATGTTTTAATTTGCATTTTCCTGAAGTTGAACATCTTTCATTATATTTATTTGCCGTCTTCATATCTTCTTTGATGAGATGTCTGTTCAGCTTCCCTGTCCATTTTTAAAAGTTGGGTTGTTTGTTATCTTATTGTTGAGTTTAAGGATTCTTTGCATATTTTAGATATCAATCCTTTATCAGAGGGGTCTTTTATGAATATCTTCCCCAAGTCTGTGGCTTGTCTTCTAAATCTCTTGATGATGGTTTTCACAGAGCAATTTTTAATTTCAGTGAAGTCCAGCTACCAATTATTTCTTTCATGTTGATGCCTTTGGTGTTGTACCTAAAAAGTCACTGTCATACCTGAGCTTACCTTGGTATTCTCCTGTTATCTTCTAGGAGTTTTAATAGTTTTGTGTTCCAGCTTAACTCAAACTATCCATTGTGAGTTAATTTCTGTGAAGCATGTAAGGTTTGTGTCTAGACTGATTTTTTTTCGCATGCAGATGTCCAGTTGTTCCAGGACCACTTGTTCAAGAAGACTGTCTTTGTCCCATTTAGCTGCTTTTGTGACTTTGTCAAAGATCAGCTCCTGTATTTGTGTGGGCCTGTTTCTGGGCTGTCTGTTCTGTGTCATCGATCTGTTTGTCTGGTTTTCATCAACACCACACTGTCTAGATTACTGTAGATGTACAGTAAGGCTTGAAGTCGGATGGTGTCAATCCTCCAGCTTTGTTTTTCTCCAGCATTGTGTCGGGTGTCCTGGGACTTTTGCTTCTCCATGTAAAGTTTAGAATCAGTTTGTCAGCATCTAAAAATAACTTACTGGGGCTTTAATAGGATTGCCTTGAACCTACAGATCAATTTGGGAAGAAATGACATCTTGACAATGAGTCTTTCCTATTCATGAACATGGAATACCTCTCTGTTAATTTAGTTCTTATTTGATTTAATTCATCAGTTTTGTAGTTTTCCTCATATAGGTCTTGAACATACATAGTTAGAGTTATTTATTTATGTATTTATTTTCTATTTGTAGTGCTGGTGTAATGGTACTGTGTTTTCAACTTCAAATTCCAATTATTCATTGCTAGTATATAGGAAAGTGATTAACTATAACCACTTACTAATTCCAGAAGGTCTTTGTCAGTTCTTTCAGATTTTCTACATAGACAGTCATGTCATCTCTGAATAAAAGCAGTGTTATTTCTTCCTTCCCAATCTGTACCATTTCCCTTACTGCATCAGCTAGGGTGTCCAGTGTGAGTGGTGAGTGGCATCCTCGCTTTGCTGTCAACTTCAGTGGGAAAGCTCCTCGTTTCTCACCATGAAGTGTAACGTCAGCTGCAGGTTTTGGTAGCTACTCTTCATCAGTTTGAGGCAGTTCCTCTCTGTTCCTACTTTGTCGACACTTTATCACGATTGGTGTTGGGTGTCGTCAAATGCCCCGTCGCAGTGTGCATAAGATCGTGTAATACTGCTGCTTTAGCTCGTCCATGTGATGGATCACATTAAGTGATTCTCAGATGTTGAACCAGTTTTGCATAACTGGGATAAATGCCACTTGGTCATAACGTATAATTCTTTTTATACACTGTTAGATTTGATTTGCAAATGCTTTGTTGAGGATTTCTGCCAGTGTGTTCACAGAGATTTTGGTCAGCAGTTTTCTTTTCTTGCAATGTCACTGTCTGGTTTTGGTAATAGGGTAATGCTGGCGGCATAGAATGAGTTGCAAAGTCTTCCCTCAGCTTCTGAAAAAGATTGTAGATAATTTGGTGCAGTTTCTTCCTTAAATGCTTGGTAGAAATCATCTGTGACCCCACTGGGGCCTGGCACTTTCTGTTTTGGAAGGTTATGAATTATTGCTTCTATTCCTTTAATGGAAATAAGCCCATTCAGATTGTCTGTTTCTTCTTGTGTGAGCATTGGCAGATTGTGTCTTTCAAAGAATCAATTCATTTCACTACATTATAAAATTTGTGGGCAGAAAGTTGTTCATAATAACCCTTTATTATCCTTTTAATGTTCATGGGATCTGTAGTGATGTCTCCTCTTTCTTTAATGATATCAGTAATTTATGTCATCTGTATCTTTTGTTTTTAGTTAGCCTGGCTAAAGATACCAATTTTATTGATCTTTTCAAAGAAGCAGCTTTTAGTTTCACTTATTTTCTCCATTAATTTCCTGTTTTCAATTTCATTGATTTCTACTCTCATTTTTACTATTTATTTTCTTCTGCTTCTTTTGTGTTTGTTTTCTTTTTCTGGTTTCGTAAGATGAGAGCTTAAATAACTGGTTTCAGATCTTTCTCCTTTTCTAATATATGCATTCAATGCTGTAAATTCCCCTCTAAGCACTGCTTTCATTGCATCCCACAGATTTTGATAAATTGTATTTTAATTTTCATTTAGTTCAAAATATTTAAGGTTTTTCCTTGAGATTGTTTTTCTTTGACTTACGTGTTGTTCAGAAGTATGCTGCTCAGCCTCCAAGTCATTTGGGATTTTTCCTGCTGCCTGTTGCTAGGCACATAGCTGTTGAAGATTGTTGTGTCTTCTTGGAGTGCTGGCCCCTCCTCGCTGTGTAACGTTCTTTTCCTCCCTGGTGGTTTTCTTTGCCCCGAAGTCTGTTCCATCTGAAATTCATGTATCTGCTCCCGCTTTCCTTTATCGGTGTTGGTGTGGCTCATGTGTCTCCGTCCCTGTACTTTCAGTCTGTATGTATCTTCGTATTTAAAGTGGAATTCTTGTTCAAAGCATACAGTTAGGTCTTATTGTTTGATCCACTCTAAAAGTCTCTTTTTAATTGGTACATTTACATCGTGAACATTAAAAGTGATTATTGATATGGTCAGAGTAACAACTACCATATTTGTTACTCTTTTCTATTCATTACTCTTGCTCCTTGCTTCTATTTTTTCTTCTACTCTTTTTCTGCCTTTTGTGGCTTTAGTTGGACATTTTATATGGTTTAATTTTCTTTCTTTTCTTAGCATAGCAGATGTGTATATATATGTATAAAATCTCAGATGTATTTATATACATATGAATATATATTTAGTGGTTGCCTTATAGTTTGCAATATAAATTTACAATGACTCCAACTTCATTTTCAAGTAACACTGTCCACTTTAATGTGAATATTTTATAGCAAAATGTTCCTAATTCCTCCCTCCCGTGCCTTGTATCTTTGCTGTCATTTATTTCACTTACCCATAAGCTATAATCTGAATACATTATTGCTATTATTTTTTAAAATAATTATCAAATTACTATGTTCTGTCAGATCAATTAAGAATTAAAAGAATATAAGTTTTATTTTACCCTTATTTATTCCTTGTCTAATACTCTTCCTTTCTTTATGTAGATCTGAGTTTCTGACCTTGCCTTTTTCCTTCTCTCTGAAGATTTTCTGTTTTTCAACATTTCTTGCAAGGCTGATGGGTGTCCCGTCCCTGGAGCTCTTTCCCACAGAGGCTCTGCTCAGTTGCACTATGACTCTGTACCTGCTTGTCCGTCTCCCAGTCTGGGCCAGCGATTTGCCCTGTGACCTCAGTTCTTGGATGCATCTAAGAGCAGCTGGTGATCTTCCAGTCTGTTCAGCTTTTTACTTGTTCTTAGGATGGAGAGGCAACTTCCATGCTCCTTACATGCTGGACCAGAAACCCAAGTGCGGTTTTCAGTTTAAAAATGGTTATTTTAATGTTTTGTGAACTCACCTCAGTACATTTAAAAATGCACCCTGCAGTCTGTGCAGCAACCCCAAAGCTCAGGTGCCCTGTCCTGGGTCCGTGATTGCTGGGGCTGCTCCGTCAGGGCTGCCTCTGCAGGCGGTACCTGCGGCCCGTGGAGGTGTTTCCATACACCTTGTTCTCCGGGCTCCTACCCTGCAGCATCGCGGCAGTGCTTGTTCTCAGCCCATTCTCTCATCCAGGCTGGGGGCCGGCTTGCTTTGTGTGAGGAGCAGGGCACTGCCTGAGGTTGGGAGCCAGATGCGTGGGGTCCACCTTCACCTGGAGGGCCTCCCTGTGTTCAATGCTCCCAGACCAGCAGTGATCTTGGCTCACAGGCTCCAGCAGGAGAGGGAAATGCCGTGTGAGAGACCAGACACACAGAGCCGCCAAGCACACGTGTGCTGGGCCTGAGCCACGCTGGATGGATAGGGAGATGCTCCTCCAGCCCCTGTGGGGCTTGCGGGCATCATTGCCCAAGTGGGGTTGTTCACGAACACCTGTTTGTTGTGCTCAGAAGAGTGGGGTTTTCTGGAGAGCTCATCAGAAGTGCCACTTCACTCCCATCCGAGGGGCTGAGAGTCTGGCTGGAGGGAATGAGGGGTGGAGGGAGGGGCCGCTCAGAGCTGTGGAAGGGCGGCTTCGGGAGGGGAGAGGTTACCTGCCCAGACCCAGGTCTGGGACCCAGGCTGGCTGCTCAGAGGCATGAGCCGTCACCGTGAAGCCTTGCGGCTGGGGGGAGGGGATGGCCCCTGCCAGCACCCCCAGCAGTGCCTCTCCACGGGGCGGGTTGTGGCCCTGGCTCCACGTGCCTGTGCTTGGATTTCAGTTCCTGAGAGCACGGGATCGAGGCTCATGGGCCTCTCGGGGCAGCTCGTGGATGCCGCGTGCAAGGTGTGCGAGGCCTACCTGGGGCGGCTGGAACACAAGGACATTGACCTTTCTGAGGATGCCGCCGAGGACCTGACAGAGGACGAGTGGAAGGACCTGATCCAGCAGTATTACTCCCTCGTTGGGTAAGATGCTGGCCAGCTCCCCGGGGGGCCCGGTGCGCCGGCGGGAGGTCTCGGGCAGCCGGCAGGAGTCGTCTAGGGGAGTCCAGCCTGCGGGCGTCTGGGCGCCTGCAGGAGGTGGGGTGCCTGTGTGGGTGGGGGGTGCCTGTCTGGATGCTGGGGCACCTGTCTGGGTGTTGGGGTGCCTGTCTTGGAGTTGGGGTTCTCAGCTCACTGTTGGCTGATAAGAGGACCACACCCCTTGGGGATGCCTTTGGGTAATGTTGCTGTAAACGCCTCCCAGCCTCTGTGTCCTTTGCGTCATTGGAGTCCCCAGCAGACTTGGGGTCTCTGCCGCGGCCAGACCGCCTGCTGGCTCTGGGTGGTGGGGACTAGCAGAGCCATTGCGTGGCTTCCAGAGTCTCCACCACCTTCAGCTGCCCCTCACTGTCTGGGGTCGGGGGGAGGGCCCAAAGGCTGAACCTGGCTCTCCTCCCCTCTGCCAAGGGCTGCGCCCTCTCACCGGGGCAACAGAGAGGAGCTCGGGCAGTGGGGGCTGGCACCGGGGACGGGGCAGCTGTCGCCGAGGGCCCAGACCAGGAAAGCCCGAGCCCTCGTCTGGAGGGTCTGCCTGCCGCCCACATGCACCATCCCGGGTTGTTTCCATTCTTTTATTCCTTCCTTCCTTCTTTTGGATCCCGTATTTTCTTTTTTCTTGGATATAAATACAGTAAAGGGGTGTTTGTCCAGTGGATGAAAGGTTGCACGTGTGCTCCCTGGGTAGCCACTGCCCAGATCAAGAT